GGCACCTGACCTCATTCTTTGCTTCTCAAATACATTTTTGATTTTTTTTAATTTTTTTTCAGTTGTTATATCTTATTTGTCTTCCTTTCATTTCATTGTTTATGATGAACACCATATAGATATAGCCACCAATCAGTCTGACAGTTGTGGAGATGTCATGATCCTACAGGTGCCAGTTCCTCCAGTCTATGTGAAATCTTTTATGCAGAGGGAATTTTTTAAAACCTTGCTTTTCCTCTCCTTGATTGATATCACAGTGAAAGTATTTCAAAATCAAATGAGTACCCATCCCCCTACTTTATTTTCTGTAGACATTAGAGTAACCTTCCGACCCACAGCCAAAGCAAGTTACATCTCTCTACTTTGTATCCTACGATTACATTTTCCATAGGGAGAAAAGATTTTTGACAGTGAGTAGTTTCAAACTGAACTTTTGTACATGTGTTTCAAGTTCTCCTATCAGTAGTAAATGACTTGGGTGGGAAACGGAATGACTTTCCTTTTAGTTAGAGAACAGCCACCTCACAGAAGTTCTACATGAAGGTGATTTGAGTTTGAATTGATTACTTAGGTATTCACTCCTACTCAGCTGTCTGAGTCTTTGTTTAGCTGTCTTGCAACAGCTCTCCAGGTTGGCAAAAACAGTCTGAAATACATGTTTTCCTAGTGTGGGACTTTATACTCCTGAACTTTCTGATTTTGAGGAATTATTCTCAGTTTCAATAGCATAATTTTCTAGAATCAACCTTTGCAAACAAAGATCCCTCAGCTTAGAGGAATCATGGTGATAATAATTACATTTTTCATAGTATTTTCCCACAAAAATTGCTTTAGCTTTTACAACCCAGGAACTTCATCACATAGTGCTCTTCTTTTGGTTGCAGGTATTTGTCATGCATATGATTAGACCCCAGTGACTCTTACCCTTCATCTCTACAGGAATACTAGATAAAAAGAACTTGAATCTGTAAACTAAATTAAAATCATTTGCTCATCAGATAAATGAAAGAGTAAGGCTTCAGCTTGGGTTTCCTCAGTTGTTTCTTTACCATATATATACTTCCACATTACCATATGATTACTCAGAGGTCCTGGAAAGAGGACTCCCTCCTCTCCCTAATTTTCCACATGGTTTAGAGACTGAATGTCCTTTATACGAACGCTTATATTTATGATGAAAAGTTAAAATGTCTTGTTCTGGATCCCATATTGAAGTCAGGATTCCTAAGTTTTAATTCTTGCCCTACTACTGGTTCTGTGGTCTTAAACAAGTCAGATAATAATGATGATGATAACAATAATAATAATATAGCCAGCATTTGTATAGTGTTTTAATAGGCTTGCAGAGCACTTTACAAATATCTTATGTCCTCACAACAACCCTGGGTTACCCAGCTAGAAAATGTTTGAGACAGGATTCGAAGCCAGGTCTTCCTCATTCCAGGTCCTAAACTCTTATCAACTTCACCACCTAGCTGCCTAGGTCCTAGGATCCAAAAAAATTTAAAAAAAAATTTTTTTTTAATTAAAAAAAAAAAAGGAAGGGATACCAGAGGCCAACTAGTTCAACCCTTTCATTTTACAGGTGAGGAAACTGAGGCCCAAAGGAAATTAAGTGACATACTCCAAAGATCATACATGTAAACAAGTCATTTAAGTTCTATGTCTCACCTCTCGTTTGTCAAATAAGCACATCTCAGCATCAAATAATGCGTACCTCAGAGGGTTTCCAGTAAGATTCAGATAAGGGAACAAATGTAAAAAAGTACTTTGTAAGCTCTTTGAGGGTAGAAGTACCATGTCTTCTTTATCTTTGTATATTTCTCAGCTCCTAGCTGAATGGATTTGTTACCTAACAAACCTGAAAGTGAGAAGGAATGTGTATAGAGAGTCTGCCTGAGTGTCTCAAAGACCTGGGTCAGCACTGCCTGTGACATATATTAGCTGGGTGACTGTGGCCTAGTCACTTAATTTTGCAGTTTTCCCCCACCTCCAACTCTCATAAGATCAGAAGTTAACAGTAGAGAATTTCAACACTGGGCCTTCCCCACACTGATGAAATCATGGGTCAACAGCCTCCCCTCCTACCTAATTTAAAAAAAAAAAAAAGGAAAGAAAAAGCCTGAAAGCAGATTTTCATAGTTTTAATGCATTGCTCAGTTTTTGTGGTTTTTAGTTTTGCTACATGCTTCAAAGAATTTTATTTGATTTTAAATAAAGGAAACAGATGTGGGTAGAAAAAGAGACATCTCTTAGGACACGTCTAACAGTTTTAGCAAAGGTTTAGCTTGACTAGTGACACATATCATGAGTCTATAGAAAACAAAAGGGAAGTATTCTGGGATGGCAGAAAAGACCCTGAATCAGGTGGGCTGGGTTCAAGTACTGACTCTACCACTAATCATAGTACACTAATCAATATAACCTTACTGACAGAGCTTAGCAAAATGCTTATAGCACGGTAATAATAATAATAATAGAATTTATGTGTCACTTTAAGGTTTGCAAAGCTTTATAATTATCTCATGTGATCCTCACAACAAACAAATCCTCATTTTACTGATGAAGAAACTGAGACAGGTTAAGTGCCTTGGCGTTAGTGGCTGAAACAGCTTGGTGGCACAGAGGATAAAGTGCTGGCCCTGGAGTCAGGAAGACCTGAGTTCAGATCTGGACTCAAGATACCTACTAGCTGTGTGACTCTGGCCAAGTCACTTAACCCTGTTTGTCTTAGTTTCTTTATCTGTAAAATGGGGGGAACAGTGCCACCAACTTCACAGAGTCATTGTGAGGATTAAATGAGATATTTGTAAAGTACTTAGCATAGTCTGTGGCACATAGTAGGTGCTACGTAAATGCTAGCTCTTATTGCCCAGGGTCACACAGCTGGTAGGTGTCTGAGACAGAGGGGTGGCCTAGATGATTACTAAGGTCTCTTATATCAGTCCTGTTCTGAGATTGTGGTTTTGTCATATCCCTAATTATAGGTGTGGAAATTTATGTGAACCACAGGTCATTTTCTAAATGGAGATACATTAATTCCCTACATTTTTCCAGTCAATCTGAATCCTTAATAGAGAATGCCCTTGGAATATGTTGTAAGAGTTCTATAGGGCACAGGCAGCGTTCAGCACAGTAATGATGATGATGGTGGCTGAGTTGCAACGTTGTCATGATGCCTAATCTATGATACTTCCATGCTTTTAAGAAGCCCCCAGAACTTGTGTTTTTGTTTCTAATCAAATATTTAAGAATTCATAAAGTGAGCATTCAGGTCTTTGACCCATATCAGAATTTAATAGGGTTAATCAAAATGATAAACTAAATTATATTACTTTTGTGATCCCCATCTTCAAAGGAGAGACCTACAGGTTTGTTTGTTTTTAATTCTGCCAGTCATTTTGGAATGACAAATGAATTGGATGCATGGCCTACATGATGGCATTTCTCTGTATTGCATATTTAGCAGCCTTGGTGTTATGTGAGCACACAAAAGTGTAATATGATAGCACTGGCCTTGGAGCAAATGAATTTCTGCCATTTGTAAAACCATAGTTCAGTGGCTAATCAAAATGTCAGTCACATAGCATAGACATGTAAGACCTTGAGACATCTTTGTCCTCCAAAATATTTTCCCCTCACAACTCTTCAAATATATGAATAATTTGGATAATTTACATATTTTCTTTTCCAGTTATTCTCCTTTAAAATTTTCCACTTTGTTCACCCCTGTTGCTTAGTTTTCCTCTTGATTTCTTGCCTTCCCACCAGAAGTGTTCCTTTCCTATCACCCTTCCCAGGAAACAAGTGATTGTTATGAGCATTTTTACTGTAATGCTGCTGTTCCTTCAGTTGGGCACATTATCTTCTTCCCCTTCAGAACAATCTCATGTTTCCTTCTTTCTCATTTTGCTTTTATTTTTCTACTGTCTATCCAAACACAATAATAGAAAGGCTGAACTTAATTCCCTCCCATATCTCCCTGCTTTCAATCATTATCAATAATTCAGATAATCTTCCTGTTACCTAATCTAATATTCTCAGTTTTCATTTTTCCCTTCTTCCAGTCACCAAATGTGTTACTAGACTCTCTTCATATAAACTTTGAGTCTTTTTCTTCCTCTCCACTGCTAGTGCAAAGGTTATTGTCGGTCTTGAAAATTTTCCCTGGCTTATGATAATTCTGTTCCTTTCGTTTGCTCATAATTCCTTTGATTTATTTATTTATTTTTTGGCTAGGCAATGGAGTTAAGTGACTTGCCCAGGGTCACATAGCTAGTAAGCATTATGCGTCTGAGGCTGGATTTGAACTCAGGTCCTCCTGACTCCAGGGCCAGTGCTCTATTCACTGCACCACCTAGCTGCCCCTCTCATAATTCCTTTGTTTCAATAATGACTATGATCTTTTTTTCCCCCACTGACTTCCTTTTAAGCTTCTCTTTTACACAGTGTTTTTTTTTCCTTTTTCCTATTCTCATCACTCATTCAGCCATTTGACCTCCATTTAACTTATAAAGGAAGACTCTAGGACAGAATGGCTCTGGGATGGCCCCCAAAGGGAGTACTGTCTCTCTCATCTACTTCTAGAGGTCATTTCTTTAGGTTTGCTGGTGGCTGCAGGAGAGACAACAGGGCCCACCACCCCTAAAGCCTCGCCATGATGAAGTCTATTAGAGAAGGGAATAAAGAAAAATCACAAGTAGGACTGGATCTAAGATAGGTTGTCAGTATTGCCTTCTTTATTGTTTGGATGTTTCAGGCATTTTTTTCCGTATTTGATCTTCTCATCACCATTTCTCCTTACTGTAATTCCTGAATGTGTCTCTGTATGCACCAGCCCACTTTTCTTTCTTAGTTCAATTTCCTTATTAAAAAAAAAACAGCAACAAACTGGACTGGAAGGCTAAGGAGAAGGCAATGTTTTTATTCACAATAAAGCTCTAAGGACATTGCTGTAATCAAGAAATAACAATAATTTTATTTTGTCTTCCTATTTTCAGGGATGATTCTGTTCAAGAAGATAATATTTGGAAAGGCATCCTCTCTGTTATTTTCTTCTTTCTCATCATCAGTGTGTTAGCTTTTCCCAATGGTAAGTAATAGATTACTTTATTTCATTTCACTACACGTAATTGCATTTCCAGTCACTGAAAGCATTGTGGTCTAGTTGATGGAGTTGAAATGGAGTTTGCAAACGCGGTTCTGCCTGATCAGAACAACTCACAATAACTTTTTTATGCCTCAGTTATTCCACTTTAGAAGTGAAGAAAGGACTGAAAAGATTGTAAGGCCTGAAATAGAGTTTGTTCTGTGCTATGACAGCGTGGTATAGTGGATAGAGTTCTGGCCTTTGAGTCAGAAAGATCTAGGTGGATTTGAACCCATTCAAATCCACTCATAGGAGGTCAGTCATGTATCATTTCTTGGCTACAGAGGACATAACTGTTGAGAGGTATTGGTGTTTATTTGACCTACAGGTTCTGAATGTGGTTCTGTGCTTAAAAGTCGAGGCTTTACTGGATTTTAGTCCTGGCTCTGCTGCTAACTAGCAGTGTAACCCTAGCAATGTGAAAGTCACCTCTTCCACCTCCATGTCCTCATCTGTACAATAAGGGGATTGGTACAGAGAACTTTGTTCTGGTCTAAATCAACATCTAAGAGAGCTTAAAGAAAGAAGATTGGGGAATGTCACAAAAAGACAACATGAAGACCAGGAGGGATAGAGGGAGAAGGAGGAAGAACAGGTGCTATTTCTAACTGCCAAGGTGATTTTTCAAAAGCATACGTCTGACAATGTCAGCTCCCTGCTTAGTGTGCTCCAGTGGCTCCTTAATCCTTCCTCAGAAGCTCTCCCTGCCTTCGCCTCCACAAACTCTTCCATCCAGGTACCCTGGCCTACTTGTAGCTCCTCAAACAGGACCCTTCATCTTCCATTTCCCTGACTTTGCATTGACCATCTACCCTTGCCTGGGTTCCTATGCCTTGTCACCTCTGCCTTTTCATTTCATTGGCTTCCTTCACAACTCATCTCAAGTCCTACATTCTGCATATGGCCTGAGTCCTCCTAGCTGCTAGTGCTCTCCCCTTCTGCATTACCTTCCATGTACTCTGCATAGAGTTTTTATGTAGGCATTTCCATGTTATATCCTCTATTAGAATGTAAGCTCCTTGAGGATAGGGACTGTTTCCATCTTTCTTTGTATCTATAACACAGGCCTTAGCACATCATAAATCCATCAGGATTAGAAAGAATCTCAGGACAGCAGAGGTAAAGTGACTTGCCCAGATGTTTTACTACATCTAGTAAGTGTCTAAGGCTGGATTTTAACACCAATAATTCTGACTCCAGGCTCAGCACTCTATCCACTGTGCAGAATCACCTAGTTGCTTCATAAACTTTATTTTCACAACCCTGTAACTGAAATTTAGCAGTTTTCTTTGATTATGAATGCAGGCCATAAACATTATTCTGAGAAGGAATTCATAGGTTTCACCAGAGTGCCAGAGAGGTCTGGGAAAGCCTTGGTGTTTTGTTTTGTTTTTTTCTTCCTTAAAAAAAAAAGGTTAAGAACTCCTGCTTTACTTGAAGGCCTCCAGTGAAAAAACTTACTACTGTCTGGAGGCTCACCGTTCCCTTTATAGATTTATGGAAGATTCTCCTTATATCAAGCTGAAATCTGCCTCCAGACCTCTGCAAGGTCTACCCTGCTCCGAGTTCTACCCATCTGGGACAAAGCTAATCCTTCCGCATGACAGTCCTTTAATTTCTTGAAGGCAGCAGGTATCTCCTTTCCTGAGCCTTCTCTTTTCTGTTGATTGATCATCTCCCTCCTTCTGGACACTCTGCTTCGATTAATATAGCCTTAGATTAGACTGAGCTTGAAGTCCACTAAAATCTCCCCATATTTTTTTATGTGAACTTTCATCTACCATACCTTCACCACCTGATACTTGTCCAGTTGTTTACTGAGCCCAAATGGAGAATTTTACATTTATCCCTATTAAAGTTTGTCTCATTAGCTCATTGTTTTAGCCTACGAAGATCTTTTTGCATCCCAATAATGTTGCCTAATATTTTAGTGCGTCCTCCCAAATTCATATCAACTAGAGATTTGATAAGCACGTACATCAACTCTGCCTTCATTTAAGACATGAGTTTTCCATAAAGCTGAAAGGTAACCTTTTAAGTTCAGACACTTCTTTCTTTTACTTGTTTGTATTTTTTTTAATGTAAATCTTTGTAAAATACACCACCATTTTTTTTCTACTTAAACAGAGCACACTGAACATTATTTAATCTTTTCTAGATTGATCATTAAGGTTCATTGTCGTGATATAATACTAATATCACTGTACGTTGAGATGTAGATAGTACGAAGCTTAAGGTTCAGCTGTAGCCCTGGAAACACTTTATTAAAAACATCAGCCTTGAGTTTTAATCATTTTCCTCTGTCACACATACACTCTCTCTCTCTGTCTCTCTCACACACACACACACACACACACACACACAATGTAAATATGTCTTCTGTCTTAAAAGATTTCAGAAGGTACAATATATACAATCCCAGGTACACCAGGACCAGGTCTTCTCAAAGTCAGATTATTTTGTCTGCTGCTCACCTATTACTCAATAATAATAGAAATTAGTATTTCTGATTGCCGACTGCCACCACTGACCTCTGCCATTCTCTTTCATCTTTTTTCTGTTTGTCTTCTTGAATGTCCCTTATTTTACTTGTCACCTTCTTATGCAAAGGTGACCTTTTGTGACAAAGTACTCTAATCCTTCCATTCATCAAATCAGCTGTGTACAGGAGGTTGTATATAATCTCTTGGCCACAAAACATTTGTGGTTTGGACAGATTTTTTTATCTGAATCTTCTGGAAGGATGATTGTATTCAGAAAAGTCAAGATTTTACTATATGTTTTTCAGTAGTCTATCAATTCCCTCAAAGGAACTTTATAGCAGGAATATAAGTTTTCAGTAACAGATGGTTTCCATAAGGTACGAAGAGACCATTTGGGTAATAAATCCACATGACTTTAAGCAGCTTGTGGTAATTTTGTTTGATTTCTGATGGGTTATTTCCTGTGTTCCCCAAGGGAGCCCTCTTATCAGCTCCTCTAATCTTAAAGTGAATTTTTAATTTCTATTTAAGCTGCAGAATCTTCCATTTCTCTGTTTTGTTTAAAGAAAGATAAAATATGTGATTCAATGCACCTCTTATCCCAACTGAGATGGTACTTTTAAAAAAATTAATTTCTTTTCAGTTTTCAACATTCACTTTTTATAAGATTTTGAGTTCTAAATTTTCCCTTCTCCCTCCACTCCCTCTCCCCAAAACAGCATGCAGTCTGATACAGGCTGTACATGTATGATCACATTAGTCATGTTGTGAAAGAAGAATCAGAACAAAAGGAAAACCATGAGAAAGATAACACAAAAAACCAACAACAAAAAAAGAGAAAATAGTGTGCTTCGATCTGCATTCATAGTCCATAGTTCTTTCTCTGGATGTGGATAGCATTTTCCATCATGAGTCTTTTGGAATTGTCTTAGATCATTGCACTGCTCAGAAGAGCTAAGTCTAACAAAATTGATCATTGCATGGTGTTGCTGTTACTGTGTACAGTGTTCTCCTATTTCTGCTCACTTCACTCAGCATCAATTCTTGCAATCCAGGTTTTTCTGAAGTCCCACTGCTCACCATTTCTTATGGAACAATAGTATTCTATTACATTCACATACCACAACTTATTCAGCCATTCCCCAATTGATGGGCATCCCCTCAATTTACAGTGTTTTGCCACCACAAAAAGAGCTGCTATAAATATTTTTGTACATGTGGTTTCTTTTCCCTTTTTTGTGATCTCTTTGGGATGTAGACCTAGTAGTGGTATTGCTGGATCAAAGGGTATGCACGGTTTTATAGCCCTTTGGGCATAGTTCCTAATTGTTGAGATGGTACTTCTGAGATATAGTTTTAAAATATATTTTTAAAAATATATATTTATATACATATATAAATAATATAACATTATTGTATCATATGTTATTTTGTTATAATATATTTCATATAAAATATATTTTTAAAAATATATTTATATATACTATATTTTTTAAAAATATATACTTTAAAATATATTGAGGATCACAATAATATATAATTTTATACAACATAATATTGGAAATGAAAAGAAACTCAGAGATCATGAAATCCAACATTCATTTTAGAGAAACCAAGGCCCAGAGGACCAAAGGGAATAGGGACCAAAGGGAGAGACCCCAGATTGTGAGAGGCCATTTGTACAGATGAGTAGATTGAGGCTCAGAGATAAGAAGTAACCCTCCATGGTTATAAAAATGGTGATTCATTAACATGATAAGAGCTGGTATTTCTAGTGCCTTCAAGTTTGCAAAGCACTGTTATTCATTTGGCCTCCTAATAATCATGTTACAGATATTATCCCTGTTTGTTTTTTGAGGAAAGACTTGCATATAGTCCTATAGCTAGTAAGTTTAAGAGACAGAATTTGAACACAAGTCTTCTTAGCTTAAAATCTGATCCTAGGACTAGAAGTGTGGTATAATGGAAAGGGCCCTAGAATGGGAGTCAAGAGATCTAGATTCAAATTCTAGCTGTCCCACTAATTAGTTATTATCTTGCACAAAACATTTTATGTCTGTGGGCCTCAGTTTAGTCACCTTTAATATAAGAAGGTTGAACTAGAGGTCCTGTTCAACTTTATGTTATATGGGATCTTCATAAATTAGTGAAATGAGGAAGGTGATAGTCATACTGTACTGTCACCTGGTCTGATCACATGTGGAATGTTATGTTCAGTTCTGGAGCCCATATTTTAGAATGTGTATTGAAAAGTTGTAGAATATCCAGAGGAGGGTAATAATAGTGAGGAGACTTAATCATGGTTCAGTGAGAAAGAAGTGTTTTTATAATCAAAGATGCCTGACCCAGACATGAAAGGTTATGTTGTAGCAAATTACAGCAACAAGGAAGAAGTCACCTTTCAGATCTAGCGAAAGAATTCATGACTAAAAAAAGATGGAGAGTATCACACAAGATAAAGCAGACAATTTTAATTCTAGGAAGTTAAAATTTTTTGCACAAACAAATCTAATATAGTAAAAATTAGAGGAATACAAATAGCTAGGCTAAACCTTTGCAGCAAGTGTCACTGATGAAGGTTTCCTTTCCATGTATATATGTATATATGAAACTGATTCAAATTATAAGAGTGAGGGCCATTCCACGATAGATAAATTATTAAAAGATATGAATAGACAGTTTTCAAAGGAAATAATCCAAGCAGTAAATAATCATATTTTTAAAAATGCTTTAAATCACTAATAATTAAAAAAATGAGGGAGGGGATAATTGAAGTGAAAGGCTAATAAAAGAAAAATGAAGTTAAAAGAGAAACAGTTAATTAAGAAAAATACTTGTCATAAGTTTCTCTAATAAAGTTCTCGTTTTCAGTATATGTAAAGAATTGATACAAAACTTGTAAAAGCAAAAGCCATTGTCCAGATGATAAATAGTCAAAGCATGTGAACAAGTAATTTTCAAAGGAAGAATCTAAGCAATCAACAGCCATATGTGAAACAAAAGCTCCTAATCACTAACAATTAGAGAAATGAAAATCAAAGTGACTCTGAAGTTCCATGAATCAAATTGGCAAAGATCACCAAAAAAGGAAAATGATAAATGTAGAGGAACTTTGGGAGAACAGATGCACTAATAAATTATTATTGGAGTTTTGAATTGAATCCAGTCACTGCAGAAGGCAATTTAGAACTTTGTGTTAGCAAAGAATTGGAAACTATGGGATGCCCATCAGTTTGTGAATGGCTAAACAAATTATGAATGTGATTCATAGCTGGTAGCCCAGTAGAGTGCTGGGCCTAGAATCAGGAAAATTTGAGTTCAATTCAATTCAAGTTCTCAAGACACTTACTAGCTTTATGCCTCTTGGCAAGTCACTTAACCTTTGTTTGCCTCAGTTTCCTAACTGTAAAATGGGGTTAATAGCGCCTACCTCACAGGATTGTTGTGAAGATCAAATGAGGTAATATTTGTAAAAAGTACTTAGGACAGTGCCTGGGACATAGTAGGCACTATGTAAATGTTGATTCACTTCCCTTTCTCTTCCTCTAATGAAATATTACTATAAGAAGTAATAAAATGGACAGTTTTGGGGAAACCTGTGAAGCCTTATATGAATTAATGCAGAGGAAAGTGAACAACTATTTTGTAAAGACACTTAAGAACTGTAATCCAGGCAAAGACCAGTGATGAAGTATGCTGCTGCCCACAACTTGACAGGGAGGGGATAAACTCAAGATGCAAAATGAGAGATGTTTTTAAACATGACCCTTAAGGGAATTTGTTTGCTTGACTGAATATTTGTTACAAGGGTTATGTTTTTCTTATAGTGAAGGTAGATGGGAGAAGTAAGAGGGATAGGATTCCCTCCCCGCTCTAGCAAAAAATAAAAAATGAGTTAAGAACAGAAGAAATTACAGGCAAGCAGGACAACCTTGAAAAGTTACATGTTGAATCTAATAGATCCTTTTAAAAAAAACTCTACATAAATAGAGACTCATAGTTTCATGTACAGTCTAATTCCGTTCTACAGTGTCTCAGGAAATACTCATTTCACTTGATGCTCATTAAAGTTAGAATGAAAAGGGATAGATTTCTGACAGTAGGAATCTACATTAATACCCATGTAATTAAAGGGAAGTCAGAATATATGGTAGTCCATAGCTGGCATGCTGGTGGAGAAGACTTATTTGTATATTCCCCATTTCCCTCCTGTTAAATCAAAATTTCACTGAATTTCACTTTTGTCAGGTATTGTTTGTATTATAACTAATGATGCTTAGGTATGAATAACCCTCCCTGGGAATATTTTCAATCCCAAAGAATAGTTAATTCAAGTGAACTATAGCATCTGCAATATAGAGAGATAAGATATTTTTAAAGAGCTTCTATTGTTCAGGGCCCTGTTTGAAAGGGCTACTCCACCATTCGCTCTTAAAGGAATCCTTCAGGGGTAGTTGGGAATTCAGTTCAGACTTCCTCATTTTTGTTTGTTTGTTTGTTTTTTGCTAGGCATTGGGGTTAAGTGACTTGCCCAGGATCACCCAGGTAGTAAGTGTCAAGTGTCTGAGGCTGGATTTGAACTCAAGTCCTCCTGATTCCAGGGCCCCTGTTCTATTCACTGTGCCACCTAGCTGCTCCCAACTTCCTTATTCTTCTAAACAGTGGTTCATACTTCTTCCTTCTCATCTCTATCCTTTCAGTTAAAATTGTCATCTCTAGAGGAAGGAATGAAGACTGCTGTGGGAGTGCTTGGAGAAGGTCTCTTATACCATGTGTAATTCCATTGGTTAAAGAATGGAGGGGGGAGGACATGTCTTTTACTCTTAATTTATTAAATGCCAGGAAAAAAAAATATTTCTAACCATAGTTCTATACTGTATTTGAGTTAGGTTTTTTAAATGCAGAGCTTTATGTCATCCCTATTTTTCTTGTTAGCTTTAGCCAACTGCTTCAGCCTGTCATAATCTTTTTGTCCCCTAGTTCTGTCATCCAGTTAGCTATTACTTCTAGCATCATATCATTGCAAATTGGGTATTTGTCCAAATCTTTTGATAAAATTCTGAACACAGTAGGGTTAAATACAGAGAGCTCTAGGGTACTCTGCTAGAAATCTTCCACTCTTTGTCAGTTCCATTAATCACTCTTTGGGTCTGTCTAGTCAACTATTTTGGAACCTACTAACTATACTATTTTCTATGCAAATCATCTCTCTCCAACTTATCCATAAGGATATCAGGAGATACTTTGTTACCTGCCTCGCTTAAAGCACAGAATGTTTTACCATGATCCTACTCATCTAATTTAAAACCCCATCAGAAAAGAATAAGATTAAATTGGCACATGGCTCATTCTTCAGGAGTCATGTTGCCTTGTAATAATTGCGTATTTCTAAATGTTTTTAAACATTTCCTTTAATAATCCATTCTAGAATTTTTCCAGGAATTATTGTCAAGTTCACAAATCTATAGTTTTAAAATAAATTCTTTTTGCTCTTTTTGAAAATTAAAACTACACATGCCATTCTCCAGATCCTTGGTACTCTTTCTGGTAGCCACAATTCCTCAAAGATTTTCCATGACGGTTCAGCAGTCACACCTGAAATTTTGTTCAGTAGCTTGGGTTCTAATTTGTCTAAGCCAGATATTGTAGGTATTGAAGGAGGTAAGTGTTTTCTTACCTTCTTCTTGCTTATCTCAGATATCAGTTACCTTTTTCAGAAATAAATTTTTATTGATGTCGTTTGTTTTTACACACAATATATCTGTACTCCCCCAGGCCCCAGAGAGCCATCTGTTGTAACAAAGAATAAAAAAGAAAAGAATAAACAATTTAACATGTCAAAAAAGTGTGACATTTGCAGTGTTCCGCTCCTATACATCCTCATCTCTGCAAAGAATGACTTTCTTGGTCATTACAGTTTTATAGCACTCAGTTTTGTTGTTCTTTCCATTTACATTGGGGTATTCTAATTCTGTATATTATTTTCTTGGTTCTTAAAAGTTTACAAGCAAAATAGCAATTGAACAATTTTATCTTGTATTTGTCTTCCTTTATCATCTCCCTACATCTTCACAACATTGTTGCTTTGGAAAAAAACTCGTTCTGAGTTGCAAACAACTCAATATGTAGAACCCATCCTTTTACTAAGGTGAAGATTGCCAGTGACAGTTGTGAGGATTAAGGTGATAATGTAGGTAAAGTTTTTAAATATAGTCTCTCAGGAAAAATCAATGTAAAGATTTTCTGTGTTGATATTTTTCCTTTAAGCATTAGAGAGTTTAATGTTATCAAAATCCACACAATTTAACTTTCTTACTTACAGTTTATGATAATTTTTTATCCACAGGTCCTTTTACTCGACCCCATCCTGCTTTATGGCGAATGGTTTTTGGTGAGTTTAAGTGGATTAATATATACAGACATTTGTATACACATTTGTTGTCTTTATATCAGCATATCATTCTTATTTGCCATTATAACTGTTAAACTTAGTTGTTAACTAACTTCTAATTCCAGAGCTTTACAGGAAACTTTTAATCTACATGATTACTTCTGGTGCTACTGTTAATGCATGTAACATTCTGATTATAGAAGTATTACCTGTTACTATACCTATCTTTGGTGATTTTCCTCTGCTACTACTTGTCATAGACCTAGTATAGCCACTTATGGTTATAAATTACTATGACTTGGCTTGAATGCTTATTAATTGTTCTCACCACAGCTAATCCATTTGGCATAATGAGCAAATTAATCGTTGTTTCCTGCCTATCTCTCTAGAGAATTTCCATTTTTACCATTATAAGGATCATTACAGAAAGCTGTTTGGGGGTTTCTTTTCTTTTTAAGACTTGGAAGATATTACTGAAAACTGCTGGCATAGGCATCGGTAGTGGTATAAAGACAGAAAGAATATATGACTCGACCCAAGAGCTGGAGAATCATTAGACCCCCCCAGAGCTCCTTCCATGTCTGAATCTGTGCTTCCTATGCTGTTTGCCCAGACTCCCCTGGGACAACCTGCAGACTAGAGTACACAACATGATAGTGGCTTACAAGAGATTTTATTCCAGTCACAGATATTCCCTCCTGTAGAGTTGCTCTGTGGGAGAAGAGGAGAGAGCCAAATTTGGATTGAGTTGTGTGATCCAAAGTGACTTGCATTGCTATGCCTAAGTGCCATTGTAAGCACTGCTTTTATCGTAGCTGATAGCACAGAAAGAACAATGGCAGAAACCTTGGCACTGGTCGTGGTTGGGGGATTATGTTGTGTCTTGGCTTTTTGTTTGTCAAGTGGCTGCCATCCATTTAAGAAAAAATGATTACCATCTTCAGGTATGAGGCAGCGTGTCTAGTCTTTTTTTTTTTTTCTGGAGTTTCTATTATTAGCAACAATGTTTTGAATTGAATTGAGAGTTTTTTTTATCTATTTCAAAATGTTAAATAGATAAATGTAATGTATTTTATCTTTCATTAATATAATTACTGTTTCTTTAGTTACTTAGTCCTATAAGGAGAGAAAAAAGGACAGTAAGTACTTCTTAAGATACACATTCGATATTTTAAATCAGTCTTCAAAACTAAGCTATCACCACTTTATTACAACAGGCATAGCTAAATCCATGTGTTGTAAAATGTTGATAATTCAGTAATTTGGGCTATTAACTTCCAATTTCTATATTAATATGAAACTAATTTCAGTTACTATTAATAGGAAGAGAAATATTAGAGGATTAGAAGCCAATCTTTGAAGCCCTATGGGTCAAAGCTCTTTCAATTTTTCCTCTGAAGATTTACACTTTCTGCCCCTCTTCCACCTTATTCATGAGTTGTTTTGCATAATTTAACATAACTGTTTGCTGTAAAAAGTTCAGCTCAGAAAGGTACCTTGGAATTTTCTAATTGTTGCCAACTGTATTTTGATTGGTGAGCTAGAATCATCTTTCTTTCTTTCTTTCTTTTTTTTTTTTAGGCGAATTGGGGTTAAGTGACTTGCCTGGGGTCACAGAGCTAATACTTGTCAAGTGTTTGGTCTGAGGCGGATTTGAACTCAGGTCCTCCTGATTTCAGGGCCGGTGCTTTATCCACTGCACCACCTAGCTGCCCCTGAATCACCTTTCTTTCTAAAACAAATAGCTATTCATCTGTTAATCCTTGAATTATTACTGTTGTTTAATATAAATTTTCAGCAAATTGAAGAATCTAGCAGAAATCACTAGCTTGTGACATATTCCAGTTAAGCAGTTTAATATATATCCCTAAAGAATAGTCAGTCAAAGAGGAAAGAGGCAAGAATACAAGGGGAAATATAGGCAATGTTAAAACAACATCTATATCAGTAAGATTATTTTTGTTTAAAAGAACAGATAGATAATGTTGTACAGTGACATATATCATGAACAGCAGCATTTTGATTAGAAAACAGTTTCTAATTTTATTCAGATTTTAAGGAACCATCATAGACATTAATTTTTTTTAAATCTTTAGAATTTAATATGATTTAATATGTAGAGTCTATATCAGATTGCACACCATCTTGGGGAGGGAGGCCAGGAAGAAGGGGGAGAAAATTTAAAACTCAAAAACTTATGGAAGTGAATGTTGAAAACTAAAAATAAGTTAATAAAAAAAAAGAACAAAAAGAATCTTTAGAATTTAAGCAATGCATTAGAAAGCAATGTGTAGATGTCTGTATGTATATTAACTCTGACCTATTTTTTATTTATGGAATCAAAATGTATATATACAGAGTATCTCACGTCTTTGTCTTCCTCAGGTCTCAGTGTGCTCTATTTCCTGTTTCTGGTATTTCTTCTTTTCCTGAACTTTGAGCAAGTAAAAGCAGTAATGTACTGGCTAGACCCAAATCTTCGTTATGCCACACGAGAAGCTGATATCATGGTAAGTGATTTATTTCAATTCCACACACATTTATTAAGTGCTTCTTTGTGCAGAACACTGTGCTGGGTGTTAGAAATACAAAGGTAAATATGATATTGACCCTGATTTAAAGAAGCTTAGAATATAATATGGAGGAAAGGTACACTAAATGTAATTGACACATAAAGGAGGGATAAAATTAATATAATGGACAGGCCCAGGCAAAATGCTATGAGGAATTTATGGAAGGAAAGATCATTTTCAGCTGAGGGAGGTGGGGAATGGGATATGGGAAGACAGAAGATTTATAGAGAGGGTGATTCCTGAGTTGGGCCTTGAAGGAAGGAAAGACTTCAACAGAAAATGATGGAATGTCCAGACTTGATGGACAACCTAAACAAAGGCTGGGAGATGACAGTTGGGAGAGGGCCTGGCAAGAGTGAGGAATGGATGGTAGCTGGAACATAGAATAAGTGAAGAGAATTATTAGCTAATACTAAAAAGGTAAATTGGAAATAGATTATAGAGTGCTTTAAATATGTGGATCCAGAGTGTGTACTTTACTCTGCATGCTATAGAAAGCTGCTGAAGGTTTTTGAGTAGTGACATACAAGTGGTGAATTATGGTGACTATTTGGGCTGCTGTGTGATAGATTGTAGAGGGGATAGCCTGGAGGCAGGTAGAAAGTTCTTATAATCTTCTGGGCTAGAAAAGAGCCTCAGCTAGAGTGGTTGCAATGAGATTGAAGAGAAGAGCCTGGAAGATAAGGGAAATTGCCCAAGCAAAATCAGTAGGTTTTGGCAACTGATTGAATGTTTGAAATGAGGTAGTTGAAATAAAGTTCTCTCCAAGGTTCTGAGCTTGCCTTACTGGGAGGATAATAGTGTCATTATTAAGCGTATATAAAATTTAAGTGTTTAGGCTAGTTTGTGGGGGTTATTGGAGAGTGGGAGAGTTAAGAAATTTAGTTGAGCATCTGTTGAGCCTAAGGTGCTAGCAGGAAGTTGGAGATATGGAACTTGAACTTTGGGGGAGAAGTTAGAGTAGGAAGTAATTTGCGTAAAGGTGACAGTTGAAGGTACAGTTGTAGATGTGATTACCAAAGGAACAAGCAAATGATAAAGAAAGGGGAAAAAACTGTTGGATTTAATGATTGAAAGAGGGCATTAGTGAGCTTGGAAAGAACAATTTCAACGGAGTAGTAAGGTCAGTTTGCATTTCAGGGCATTGAACAGTGATTAGATGGTGATGATATGAAGACAAGTTAGTGTAACATTTTCTTTCTGAAACTTCAGGACCCAATGGAAGAAAAGGTAACTATAGAATAGAATGCTAACATGTAGTGGTAACATCAAAATAAGAATTTTTTACATTTGCAGTAGTCTAGGGAAACTTTCAAATTCTTGTGCTTAAGTTGCTGAACCTTCAAATTTTTAATTAGTGGTTTCTTCATCTTTCCAATCCTGGTATCTTAAAACTAAACTACATTTTCATGACCTCTCATTCAGGTAGCACATGAAATAAAGAAGTTATGATTCCATCCACATACTTAATATCAGAAATATAGCTTTGGTCATTTGAAACAACTCAATACATCAAACTCACTCAACTGCTTGTATGTATACAGAATTGCTTGTCACTTGTACATATCCACCATGAAATTGTCATTATTCTTGCGCTTTCAGTGATAGTGGTATTTAAAACATGCAAATTTTTTCCTTTCCATTTTTGACTATTTAATGTTCTATATCAAATAGAAAAAACCAATGCACTGGCTATGCACTAAAAAGGCAAAAGATGGAAGTGGACCACAGGTGGTCTGAGTGCCAAACAGTGCAATGCTGTTATTCTCTACTGTTATTCCCAATGCTGATGAGCAAAGTCAGGCTGATCCTAAAGTGCCAGTGGACATTAACAGTGACGTGACGTCCACGAAAAGGAGTCTGCATACAGTGATGTTTGACTCTCTTCAGACTCATCTTAAATGAGGTTATGGACAGGATGAACAGAAGTACAAAAAAATAGTGAAATGGAAAATGGATCTTATAAGAAAATGACTTTGCATGTGTGAGGCCTCCAGTTCGATCCCCGGCATCTCCACTTATCTTTGGGGCACCGTGGATAGAGCTCCGGCCTTGGAGTCAGGAGGACCTGAGTTCAAATCCGGCCTCAGACACTTGACACTTCCTAGCTGTGTGACCCTGAGCAAGTCACTTAACCCCAATTGCCTCACCAAAAAGCCAAAAAAAAAATTATTTGTAATTTTTAACATAATGAAGGATGAGAGTTGATTTATTATCTTCAGGCAAACAAAATTATAATAATAAAATGCACTGTATAAAAGAAAATCCATTTTTATTTTTATTACTAACATATTAAATAATAAATATCACAGAATCCCAGAGTTTAAAAGGGACTGCTCAAGAATCCCTTCTACAGTGTACCTGACAAGCCTTTGCTTGAAGACCTCTGGGAAGAAGGCAGTTATCTCCAGAGACAGGCCTTTCAACTTAAGGATATCTCTAACTGAATTGTTAGGATGTTTTTCCTTACATCAAGCCTAAATTCACATCCTGGTAGTCTCTATTCATTGTTTTAGTTTTGCCCCTGGAGCTAATCATAACAAGTCTAAATCCTTATTTCATGAGAGTGCCTTTCAAATAGGGTCATAGATTTAGAGATGGAAAGGACTTCAGAGATCATCTGATCTGATACCTATTTTATAGATAAGAAACTAAGGCCTGGGATTGGACAAATAATAAATGGCAGAGCTAGAATTTTAACCGAGGTCCTTCAAATATAGCACCCTTCCTACTGTAGCATATTGCTTTCCAATATTTGAAAAAAGCTGTGAGGTTTTACCCCCACCCCCAAATTTAACTACCATAATATGGAACAACCTAAGGCCCTTCATCATCCTGGTTACATCCTTGCTCCTGGTATGGCATATTTCTGTTAAAACATCTCAAGATCACATTTGCTTTTTTTCTTACTTAAACAAACAACAAAAACTTTTTCCCCATATAATAGTAATTTCTAATTTTCAGAATGCTTTTATCTGGTGTTATTTATGTTGTCATTCTTATCCCTGTAGTATTTCAGCAAACCTATGAAGTAGAAGCAGCAAGAAATACATTAAGTATATATTCTTTCGTTATTGGCCAAGGATACTTGATCTCTGTTATTAAGCCAGTGCTTCATAGTTGTCAAACTAGTGGTGTTCAGGATCTTTATAGTGTTTGGTGAAATTCAGGAAAACACTGATGAAACTATGTTAGATGCTGAATTTGTTTCTGGCAGAGCTACATTTTGAAGCCATATAGGCTTGAACATAGCACTGTTTTCCTAGACCAGGGGTGGGGAACCTACAGCCTTGAGGCCACATGTGGCCTTCTACAGCCTTGGGTGCAGCTTTTTGACTGAGTCTAAATTTTACAGAATCCTTTAATAAAATAAAATAAAATCCTTTTATTAAGACAGTTTGTTCTATGAAGTTTGGATTCAATCAAAGGGCCTTTGCTGAAACTTCTCCATATCAATTTGACCCTGAGAAGAAAGGGTGAAAGAGTTTAAAGCAATGCAGACAAATACAAGAAACTTTACAGATATAGTAAAGACTATTGGAGTTAAAATTTAGGAAACTGAGGTTCTCTTATTAGCTGGATGATCCTGAGCAAGGTACATAATCTCTCTGAGTGTGTTCACTGATCTATAAAATTAGGAAAATAACAGTGGCATCACCCACCTGACAGGGCTATTGTGAAGAAAGCATTTTATAAGCCATCAAGCACATGTGTTACTGCTCTGTACATGATAACCACATCATGCAGGTACCACAACTTAAGTTAACCATTACCTTAATGTTAAAAATTCTGTAATGAACAAAATTGTTACTATAAATGGAACCAAATTCCATTGATAGTTTAGTAATATTATTTTTCTTTCTATTATAATCCAGTTATTTCAGCAGAGTTGGGATACTAACAATTTATAATCTCAAACATAGGAATTTTATAGTCTCCACTGAATTTCCACTCTAATGTCTCATTATAGTGTGGGATTGTTCCTTTATTCTCAAAGGCCATTCTACAGGTTCACAAAGTTTGAGAAGTCTTATCAGAGTGGAAAAGCTTCAAGTCTAGGCCAGGTAATAGAATGTATGGCTGCCCTCCAAAATCCCTCCTAGCCATATTTGGAGACTTATTGCCAGAAAGTTGGCCAAGTGAGGATTGGGTTTTTTTGAGGGCTGTACCTACTCATGAAGAGATCTTTGAGTATTATCCAGACTTCATCAGTTTTTATACTAACTAAAAGTTTATACTAACTTGACTTGTCAGGGTTTTCAAAATTTGTGTGTCTCAGTGTTTTTGTTTGTTTGTTTGTTTTGGTTTGGTTTTTTTTTTTTTAGTTTTTTGTTTGTTTGTTTGTTTGTTTTTAGTTTTTTTAGGCAATTGGGGTTAAGTGACTTGCCCAGGGTCACACAGCTAGTAAGTGTCAAGTGTTTAGTCTGAGGCAGGATTTGAACTCAGGTCCTCCTGACTTCAGGGCCAATGCTCTCTCCACTTTGCCACCTAGCTGCCCCTGATTTGCCTTTGTTTGTTTATTTGTTTGTTTTAGGCAATTGGGGTTAAGCGACTTGCCCAGGGTCACACAGGTAGTGAGTGTTATGTGTCTGAGTTCAGATTTGAACTCAGGTCCTCCTGACTGCAGAGCTGAACTCAGGTCCTCCTGACTTCAGAGCTGGTGCTCTATCCACTGCACCACCTAGCTGCCCCGTGTCTCAGTGCTTTTAACTGTTCACTTTTCCAACTTTGAATTAGGAGTATGCTGTCAACTGTCATGTCATCACCTGGGAGAGGATTCTCAGCCATTTTGACATATTTGCTTTCGGACATTTCTGGGGCTGGGCTATGAAGGCCTTACTGATTCGGAGTTATGGACTGTGCTGGACAATCAGTATTACCTGGGAGCTAACTGAGGTAAGTAGGTACTCAAGTACCATAAAATGAGTGTCTAGAAAGCAGGTAATTCATGAACTGGATACAGTCAAATGAACCTATTGAAGGCCATATTTAGTCCATTCTTTTAGTTTGACACAAATTTGTACCTACATCATCCCAGACCATTGTTTGCATCTTCTATTTTAAAATCTCTAGAAAAGTGGATTTTTCCACTTTATGGTTTTTGTCAATATCTCACAACTCTTATGGTTGGAAAGTTCATTCAACTTTCTGCTCCATTCATGTTACAGTTTAGGCCCAGAGTTCTGACACTGATGCCCCCAATGAGTTATTTTGAAGTGGAAAATGAAATGAGGTGTTAACAAATAACTAAAAGTGATAAACAAAAATACGGGAAGACCAATTTGGAAATGCTTATCTTCAGCCAGAGCCACTTGTATTATTATTTAGAAATAAGAATGACATTTAGTGCGTTTTGCAGGTTATATATAAATTTTCCATAAATTGCCTTTAAATTTCATTTATAAAAAATAATAGTTGACATTCCTACTCTATTCTAAGGTTTATATCCATTATCTTATTTAACCTTTTTAACAACTCTGTAAGATACTACAGACATTATCTACATTTTTATAGATAAGGAAACTTTGACTCAGAGAGGTTATATGACCACACTTATTATATGTAATTATAATGGTTATACAATTAAACATGTACAGGGAAATTGAACACCGACTTTCTTTTTTTTCCTACTTAATAATATTTTATTATTTCCAGTTACATGTAAAGATAGTTTTCAACATTCACTTTTATAAGATTTTGAGTTCCAAATTTTTTTCTTCCTCCATCTCTTCCCTCCCCCCTCCCCAAGACAGCATGCAGTCTGATAAGGTTATACATGTACAATCGTATTAAACATAGTTCCACATTAGTCATGTTGTAAAGAATCAGAACAAAAGGGAAAAACCATGAGAAAGAAAAAACAAAAAATTGAAAATAGTATGGTTTGATCTGCATTTGATTCCGTAGTTTTTTCTTTGGATGGAACACTGACTTTCTACCACAGCACTCTTTCCAACATTCCTTAAAGAGATATTTGCAAAAATGCTAAATTATTTAACCTGTTTGGGCTTCAGTTTCCTTCCCTATGAAGGGGGGTGCTGGAGGATGGAGGGGTGAGGGGGTGTGTGTTAAAATTGCATTATCTATTTCACAAAGTTGTTGTATTAAAAATGATATATAAAACTACAAGAAATATGTGTTGGTATTATTAAAAGCTATTTATACAGTGAAAATTTTTAAGGCTAATAGTGTTTTCTTACTTACTTAAATTCTAATTATAGAGATTCACTTTCTCATAGCCACAGTTTGTTTCAATGGAATGTATTTCTTGTTGACAAACAAGTGCCTTAACTCTAGGGAAAGCACTCCAATCAGAGGAAGGAGATCCTAATCTGAATGCCATATCACAGGGAACGTTCCTTCTACAAATAGCTCTTCATATCCCAAACCCATGTGCCATCTCAGCATACATTTTTGTAGTAGCACATCCATTTGGGGTACCCTTCACATTCCACTCCCCTGGGTACTATCCACCAACGTCCTGTTAATCCACAAAGCAGAGGTCCCTTCTCCTCCACCCCCATCCCTGCCTTCCGATTTCACTCGTCCCTGACAGCCAGAACTTTTATTGGCAGATGATTAAAGGTCATGCTTTATGGAATGTTGTCTTACTTTGGTGTTGTTCCTTGAACTGCAAGAATTATATCAGAGCCTACCTTACATGGACCCCCTTGCATAGAATGTGGATTTGGGGTCTTAAGTTATAACTTGAGTTATGTAGTTGAATGTAAGAAAGCAGTCTTTTGAGCAGTGGGATACTTGAAATATGTATTGAGTTTAGATGCAACAGGTTTAAATAGAGATTCCAACATCTGAACCCTTCCCCACAGTTTAGTGTGTTCTAAGTCTGATAAATAATGTTAGATGATTCAGAGTCATATTTAACCTGGCTCATAATTGCAGGTCTTTTTTGGAATAGTTATATATAAACAGGGCCTACCTATGTTTAAAAATTGTTGCTACTCATCTTTTTGGAGAGTAGGAATATCCAGTTTCTTTTGAACTCATTTCCCAGATCAAATGATCAAGTTTTATCCACACCGACTTCAGTCTTCAGTTTTTCATGGTTTTGCCTAAAACCACAACGTTCCTCTGGCTTGTACCTATAAACATTAACTCCAGTTGTTGAGTTGCTAAATTATATGATTGTATTATAGCCCTTGTGTCAATTCTAAAAATTTTCTCTATCCCTTTGTGCTCACATCATCCAGTTACTCTGCAGCAGAGCTAGCAGTATATTCTCCATAGGAGCCATTATTGAATTCAAAGGCCATTATTGAAATAGAAAAGACATTTCTTGCTAACATTTTTATAAATCATCAGACATTTCTGGAGTTCAGTTCAACAAATTTTTTTTTGAATGCTTACTATGTACTAAGATACGTTGGTACAAGAAAAGAGTAGGCCTTTTTTGTACACAAAAGAAGAGAGAAAATAAATGTTTAAATTTCATTGGCTTTTTTCTTAAGTACAGTTCTGCGTAGGAAAAAAAGGTCTTTCTGTATTTTACCCTATTTTTTCTCCCACCCATCATCTTTTTCCTATATTCTGTAGCTTTTCTTCATGCATCTTCTGCCTAATTTTGCTGAGTGCTGGTGGGATCAAGTCATTTTGGACATCTTGTTGTGCAATGGAGGTGGCATCTGGTTGGGAATGGTAGTTTGCCGGTTTTTAGAGATGAGGACTTATCACTGGGCCAGCTTCAAGTAAGTTTTTTTACAACTCAGTCATAATTTTTAATGGTGTATTGGGAGTATGTTGGTATAATCCAGTTTCTTGTCAGTAAGTAGGAAGGGACTGGACCCATGAAGATAATTTTCAGTTTTTTGTAATAAGTGAAAAGGGAAAGTGTAAATGAAAACTTAGAGGATCCCTTCTCGAAGTTACTAGAAGAAGTTATTAGAGTTAGTAACCAATTCTTGTTTTGAATTTTATTCACCACCACCCCCCTTAGTTTTTACTTTAAAAGTATACAAATGCTCATTAGCTTATGGTTAAATGACCAGAAGATGAAAAATGGAAAGGAAGAAGCTAGAAGCCTAAGTTATTAGCCCCTCCTCAACCCCTAAAATAGAGTTGGCTGTGTTTTCTTACAAATAAAAACCTATGTTTTGACATGGATTATTTATAAAATTTTTTCTACTCTATGCCACATGTAAGGTCATAGAAGGAAAGGGCAAGCCTCGAGGTAATTCTTTTGCACTTAGAAGAAAGCCAGTTTCAAAAAAAAATCACATATGAATTCTTACAATATTGATACTATTTCTTGTAAAATAATGTAATTTATCTCTTAGCATACAGCAGACTTGCCTTGCCTCATAATCTGTTCTCCCTTACATAGTCTTGGACTGGGAATTCTTTATTCCTTGTCCTCCTCAGATAACTTTACTCACTTTCTAGTAGAAATCTGATGCAAAGAAAGCCCTCCTCAGACCTCCAGAGGAAGAGTTCAGGCAGCCTGGGGCTGTGAGAAGTGAGCTGGACTGGGGGTCTGAAGGCCTAGGCTTGAATCCCAGCCTTGAATCCCAGCCTTGCTCCTTATTGCCTGCCCATGTGTCTCAGACACATCACGTTATGCCTTTATGCTTATGCTTCACTTTCTCATGTGAAATAAGGGAATTCAACTACGTCATCTCTTAAGAGCTTTTCCTCCTCAAAACTCTATGATTCACTTGTACGAAAGTCAGCAGCCCCTGCATGTATTGAGATGGTGCTTTTTTGTTTCATTTATGAATTGATCTACCTTTTACCTGGTCTTGGTGTGTCTAGGGATATACATTTGCAAAGGAATTGAATTAGAGACAAAGTCCATGGAGCATGCAACAGAACCTTTAATTAGTTCTTATCAGGACCCTCCTATTAGGACTGTCAAGTGAAAAAACACTGATTAAGTACTTACTGTGTTCCAGGCACTGTAGGAAGCACTGGGGATACAGATAAAAAATCAGAATATTCCCTGCCCTCAGTGAACTCATATTGTAGTTTTGGGGAGACATCACATAATTAAGGTCTTATGTTCTTGTTCAATCCATGGCAGGTCAGGCAAAGGCCAGATTGAAGTTGGGTTTCATTAAGGAAAGTGCATTAATGCAAGTGGCAACTGCACCCCTCACCACCATCACCACCTGAGAAGTGGTGGCCAGGCAGACAGTGTGCCACCATAGTGATAGTGGTTCCAAAGCCCAAGGCAGGATGTGGCTCTGTAATACCTCACATGGAGCCGAGGGGATGAAAATCCATATCCAGCTGACAGTGGGCATCCTGTCCTTGGTGGGAATTGGATGGTGAAAATTGGGTTGGGAAAGGGAAAAGATTTATGGCTCCCCACCTTGGAGCTGGTAATGACTGTCTCATGAGCTCTTGGCAATCAACCAGGCAGTTCAGGTCAGAGGGAGAAAGAAACAAGCTCAAAGAATGAGGAGTGTGGTTTTACTGGGACTTAGAGATTTTCTCCATTTCTCCCTGTTCATATCTGCTTGGGAAGCAAAGCAGTGCCTGAGATTAATAAATTTCCTGGCATCTATATCCATGATTGGGACAGCTCTAGACCATTGTCCTTAATAACTCAGCTTCTTTTGAAAGCTACTAATAAATGAAGACCTTTTTTTCTGGCCCTGTAATAATACTACCTCTATTATAGGGACACCTTTACTCTGATCTCATTTTCACTGAAATCCTCAACTGAGACTTTTTTACGTGTATTTTCACTGTAAATAAACACTCTTGCTATCAGAAAAAAAAAATCCTGTGGAAAGATATCACTTACCTTGATCCTTTGTTGCTAAAATGTGAATCCTTCTTTCCCCTCTCCTACCTCTTTGGGATCTTTGCTAGAATATTGCAGCTGTTCTCTTCTTACAGGGACATTCACACCACTACAGGGAAAATCAAAAGGGCTGTGTTGCAGTTCACTCCCGCTAGCTGGACATATGTTCGGTGGTTTGACCCCAAGTCTTCATTTCAGAGAGTAGCTGGAATATACCTTTTCATGATCATCTGGCAGGTAAAAACAAGGAGGGGAGGGGGCAGGAATCAATCATGAAAAACTTTGTGAAATTTAAGTTCGTCTAAGTTAAAATTACTATGAACTAGATTTGGCTGGAAGATAGAATGAATTAAATGAAACCACAAGCTAAAAACTTTACTTCACACAAAAGCTTATATGCAAGTCTTTAAATTAACAAACTAGAAATAACTTACAATTACCTGTGAAAGAAACTAGTGTTCTAGTGTCCACAACTGAGTGTGTTAGGCATTAGATTACTTTTTATTTAGAGTAGTTATAGAAACCAAAGAACCTAATGGATAGAATTTTCCAAAGTGCCAACATGATTAGGCATTTGATTTTGAAACTAATATCTCAGCAGTTGATATTATAAGTATTTTTCAGACATTTGAGTAAGTTAATAATTCTCTGTTTTCCCCATGGGAAAGCTAAAACTCCTTAGCACGAATATATCTGGAATCTCTTTGTGTGCTGTTCTTAGTAGGAAGAAGTTCCAGCAGGAGAACACCACATTATTGAACTCATTCAGATAACTATAATTAATAATGCACTGTAATTTTTTGAGTATTACTGTGATAATGTGACTTACTGTCCCCCTACAGAATCCCCAAAGGCTTCTGTTCTTTTGAACACAAAGTAGAAGGATTTGTGTGCTCCAAATTTTCAATTCTTACCGTAGTTTAATTAGTATGGCTATCCTTATCAGACATCCCTGTTTTCCAGAGATAGGCCTTATCTTGGTTCTCAGTCTCTATACCCTGAGAATAGTTCCCAGAGTTAGAGACTAACACAGAAAGACCAACTTTCATCCCCAGAAGCTTTACTAAAAAAGTGCTTTTTGAGTACGTGGGCACCATAATGGACCTCCCTGCCGTGTGTATGTGTATTTTTCTTTTGTGTGTGTTTTTTCATATATATATGTGTATACACACATATATACATTTATATATACATAACTCTGGCTCTTATTGACTGGCCAACTGTAAGTCCCAGTCCAAGCCCTGCTTGGTCATTGTTTGGACTTTGGAACCTGATTGGCTCAGAGTGAATGTAAATAGTAATTGTTTCTGTTTTGGCCAGAAACCCTGAGGATCTTCCCCTCCCTGATTTTTTTTTTTTGACTAGGTAAAAGAGGCCATTCTCTGCCTTATTTCCTTACCTAGCTTTAATCACCACATGAGTGATTGCCTCAGTCAAACAGGCCTGTTAAAGACCTTGGATTAAAAATCTCCAAGGTCTCCCACTGTATCCAGGGCCATCTCTAGTCATCCCGAATCTATATCTTGCTACTGGATCCAGATGACTCTGAAAGAGAAAGTGAGGCTGGTGACTGCACAGTCCTTCTTCATTCAAATCACATTCAGTTGCATGTCATGGCATCACCTCCTTGTTGTCATGGTCCTCTTTCAGAACAAAGGACAAACAACAACATATATGTATGTATTCCTCTTTTGTGTGATAGCAATATCAATATATTTTCTGAAAACACCATAAAGATCCCATATTCTTTTAGATATAGCATCTATATTTGGAGAATTCCCTCAAATTCACTATTGAAAATGCCCAGGAGCAATATTAGAAGAGATTAATGTGAATGCATCCTGCTGTCAAATTGTTGACTAATTCCTTCTCCCTTTTCAGCTGACTGAATTGAACACGTTCTTCTTGAAACATATCTTTGTGTTTCATGCAAGCCATCCATTAAGTTGGTGTAGAATTCTCTTCATTGGTGGGATCACTGCACCTACTGTTAGGTAACTTTGCATTCCTGTTACATCTTTTTATTCAAAAAGAGAGAATAATGAGTTTTCACAATAAATACCATTCAAAAGGACCATGCAGAATTTCAAGGCATGTTTTTTCTTTTCAAACTTTAGCTCTGTGGGAGCCTATGTGTTTAAGAAGGGGGGGGAGGGGCAGTGGTGGGAGCCAACAATCAGAACTGTGATAGCTCAGCTCAGGACACCAAAACACCTTTCATTTCAAGTTCCTTCTTAGTCTCTTAAGCATTTCCCATAACACCCTTTAAATCATACCTATAGTAGCGCTATTTTTTTTATTTTGTAAGACCTATAATCATCATAACGAAGAACTCCTAGTGTAGAGACCCTATGTGGCACAGATCTGCAGTTGGTGTACATTTAGTCTCAGTTGCTTGGGGCACTGAGAAGTTAAAGAGTCTTGCCCATGGTCACACAGCTAGTATGTATTAGAGGCAGGACTAGAATTTAGACACAGATGACAGTCCATCTACATTGATGAATTTATAGGTCTGAAATTATGAGTGTGGCAGTTAGTCGTCTAATGTTTACTAAGGGCCTCCTATGTGCCAGGCACTGTGCTAAGCATTAGAGGTACAAAAAAGGACAAAAAACCAGTTACTGCATTCAAGGAGCTCATATTCTAATGGAGGAGACAACGTGCTACGAACTTATGTATAAACAAATATAGACCGGATAAATTAGTGAAAACACTTGAGATCAACAAGGAGTGGCAAAGGCTTCTTGCCGAAGGTGAAACTTTAGCTGAATCTTGAAGGAAACCAGAAAAGCGAGGAGGGACAGTGTTCTAGGCATGGGAGGACAGAGAGTGAAAATATTTGGAGTTGGAAAATAGATTATTGTGTTCAAGGAACAGCAAGAAGACCCATGTCATTGGATCACAGAGTAGATGGAGGAGAATGAGGTATAAGAAGACTGGCAAGTTAGAAAGGGGCTAGGTTATGAAGAGCTTTAAAAGTTAAACAAAGGATTTTGTATTTGATCCTGCAAGTGAGCCACTAGCGTTTATTGAAGCGGGGAAGGGGAAGGGTGATGGTGATATAATCAGACCTATCCTTTACAAAGATTGTTTTGAGGGCTGAATGGAAGAAGGATTGGAGTGAGGAAAGATTTGGGGTAGGGAAACCAACCAACAATTATTGCAGTAGTCCAGGTATGAGGAGATGACGGCCTATACCAGGGTGGTGGCAGTGTCAGAGGACAGAATTTATGAAAATAGTATTGGCAGTACTTAGCAACTGATTAGAAATGGGGAGAGAGTGAGGTGTAAAGGATGACACCTGGCTTTCTAGCCTGGGAGACTGGAGTAATGGTGGTACCCTTGACAGTAATAGGGAAGTTAGGAAAGGGGGATAGTTTACTGTCTGATACTGAGTTCAGTTTTGGACATGTTGAGTTTAAAATGTCTATGGGACATCCACTTCAAGATGTCTAATAGACAATTGGAAATGTAATTCTGGAGTTTAGCAGAGAGATTAGAACTAGATATGTAGATTAGAGAATCGTTGGCATAGAGATGATAATTGAAGTAATGAGAGCTGATAAGATCACCAACTGATCCTAGAGAGAAAGAAGAGAAAGAGAGCCCAGGACAGAGCCTGGGGATCCCTACAATTAGCAGGTGTGATGTGGATGATGAGCCAGCAAAGGAGACAGAGAAGGAATGGTCCAGCAGATAGGAGAAGAACGAGGGTAGCAGTGTCAGGAAAGCCTAGAAAGAAGAGAGTGTCGAGGAGAAGAAAGTGATTAGTGGTGTCAGACTGTGGAGAGGTCAGGATGGATGAGGATTCAGAAAAGGCTAGAAATAAATGTGAAATCATTATTATTATTATTATCCTATTCCAAATTTTTCAAATTTTTTTTGAGTTCCAGTTTTTCAAATTTCCCTCAAATTGCCTCTGTGATAACTATTATTGCTGTAGCACTTTATGGTTTACAGAGTGCTTTTCTTAAGACAGAATGATAAAATAGACTTGACCTCATTGTTGTCTCTTGTGCTTCTAGGATAACAGGCAAGTTCAGGAGATAGACCAGTGGACCTCTGAAACATTTTTTCTGTTTTATATTAACTATAAGCTAACATAAGAAAAACTTTTTTTTATCAAGTTAGGAAAATTCAACAGTTCTTGTTGAATTGATGGTCCTTATTAAAACAAAACTAAAAATTGTTTAAAATAGTTCATTATGAAATTAATTTTAAATATTACAAAATTTATTAAGCACATTTAAAACTTCATTATAAATTGAATTTTAACATACAAATAACCATGACCACCTAACACATCCTCTTTTTGTACCTTTCTAATCTCTTTCTCCATTGACTCATAGATTCAGGTTATGTCTTTTTCTTTATGTAATTGAAGTCAGTGCAAATGTCACTTTTCTAATTCTGCTTTCATCACTTTTCCTTCAGAAAATTTCCATATTTTTATGGTGAACTTAACAATCATCAAAAAAACAAAAACATTTCAATATAAAAAAAAAACAAGAAAGAGGATTGTGTAAGAAATAGTGGACCTCTGTTATGTTCTTTTTTTGTTTTTTAAGAAAGAGTAACAGAATTACAGTATTTGTCCCTCTTTCTGCCCTTTTTTCTTTGTATTAAACAACATTGATTCTCTTTTTAGGCATATCTACCACTACCTAATAACCTGTAACTTCTCCTCTACCCTTCAAAGAGAAGCCTTCTCTTGCAGCAAATATGTGTAGTTACGCAAAACAAATCAACACCCTGACCACATCCTGTACCTTAACTCCATTTTAACTCAGTCCTTATACTTTCCGTTCTTCATTACATTATGTTATTCCATATTCCGGTTTGTTCTGTCAAAATATTTATCATTAATATATCCAAGCATTGTGCTAAACTCTGGGAAGACAAATACAAGCAAAAAGGCAGTCCCTCTTCTCAAGGACCTTGGGCTTTAATGGGGAAAAACAGCACATAAAAGGAAGCCAAAATGAGAGTTGGAGAGGGAAGTACAGATTAAGGTCCTTAGCAGGCACATGATACAAAAAGTGTAGTGTACAGTTTGGAAAGAAATAAAACATACCTGGCCTGGGAGCCTTTCTTAAATGGAGATTCTAGGATGAGCCATCCAATCAGAAGGAGAGGCCACAGGGGCAGAATATACTAACAGTATGTGAATTCCTCATCTAGAGTGAGCTTCCAGGATAAGAAAGTTTCTGGGACGTAGTAAAGAAAGTCTGCAATGCAGCCTCACTAAATATTTTCATACAGATAATTCTATAGCACTCTTTAGGCATATTCCCAACAATGGACTTATTGGATTAAATGGTCTGACCATTTTTATAACATTTTATAACTCTTATTCTGTAGTTCCATATTGCTTTCCAAAAGGAGTTCACCAATTTTTAGTGCCACCAGCATTGAATAAATGAACATGTTCCCACATATTCCTGCCAGCATTGAATTTTTCTCATTTTTGTTTATTTTTGCCAATTTGGTAAGTGACTCAGGATTGTTCATTTGCATATTTTTGATGGTTGGGAAGAGTAAATGTTTTTCAGTTTGTATAACTTCTTTTGTAAATTGTCTTTTCATAGCCTTTGATCATTATCCCATTGGCACTGTTGTGAATTTCTCATAAATTTTAGCTTTCAGTTTTTTATTTGATTCAGTTTGCCACATTTCCCCAATCCTCTTTTAGCATTGTTTTTTATTTTACATTTTTTTAAATTGGTATATGTTGTTAAATTCATTAAATCCCAGGTTTAATATTTATGTCGATTAAATTGTCGGGAATTTTCATACTGTAAAAAAAAAATTTTTCAGAACAAAATCAGAAACTAAAACCATATGAATTCAGTTTTTCAGAAGGGCTCATCAAAATGTGTGCCTGGTCAGACCAAGGGATTTCATGCTATTCTCTCTGTTATTTCAAAATCAGCCTCTTTCTGTGCATTATATGTTGCCTAAGGCAATTTGGTGATTGGTTCAGATTGACTTTGGGAATTTAGTTAGGTTATTATAATTGTACTTTAATTAGTTTAGTCATGCAAATTAGCATATATAGGCCAGTCCTTAAAAGAAAATAAAGTTGTAGGTCCCAAGATCAATCTAGTAAGCTCTGACTCTTTTCTTCTGATTTTATTATGTTTTCATGAGAAATAGTTTTGAGGTCTTTGAGCATTCTTAGTATAGTATGAAGTACAGTTAGATGAAGACTAATTAACAAATACAATCAGGTAATGAAAAATTGTAATTTAATGAAGACTTTGTTCAATAAATAACACTTTAGAGAGAATAAATTAAGTCCAGGAGAAGTTAGATTCCCTAGGCCTTTTTCTCCAAGTCATGACTAAAGATTGAACCTTGGTGAGTAATGATTCAGAGGCCTAGACATCAGAAGACAATGAAATGCTCCCGTAGTCTCCTTCCAGTTGCTGCAGGAGCTTCCATTTTCAATCTACAGAGCCAATCTAGAAAGTCTTGAGAGATTGGATCTGTAGTTCAACTCTAATCTCAGCAATCACCTCAAAAAGGGGCTGAAGTTGCCATCCAGGGGACCTTTTATTGCTGGAGTCCAAGGCTGTGTTTGTTTTGCAGCCAAATAGAGACTTCATTGTTGGCATTATGCTCTAACCTGTAATATCCATCTCTTAGCTAGAGCTCCACAAAGAGTGTGGGCTTAGGAAACTGGCCAGGCAAGTCAAGTCCAAAAGCATTTTTAAGCAGGTACTATGTGTCAGACTCTGCTAAATGGTAGGGACAAAAAGAAAAGTAAAAGACAATTCCTGCCCTCAAGGAGCTCATAGTCTGATGGGGGAAATATCATATAAAAAGCTTCTTTTAAAGGTAGACTTTTAGTTGGGGCAGCCGAGAGACAGAGATGAGAAAGAGAATTCCAAGGATGGGGGCAACCAGTGAAAATGCATGGAGTTTGGAGATAAGGCCCATGTCGTAGTTCACTCTGGAAAATAAAGTGTGAGAAGAGTGGAATGATGCGATGGAGTCAGGTTACAAGGGGCTTTGAATGATGTTTGATTCTGCATGTGAGAGGGAGAATTGGAGTCTATTGAATGGGGAGATGACATGGTGAGACCTGAACTTTAGGAAGAGCACTTTGGCAGTTAAGTGGAGGATGGATTGGAATGGGGAGAGACTTGTGCCTGGCAGGCCAATTAGCTTACTGTTGAGGGACTCCAGGCATGAGTTGATAATGGCCTCTACCGGGGGATGGCTGTGTCAGAGGAGAGAAGGAGGTACCTACGAGAGACATTGGGAAAGTAAAATTGACAGACATTGGCAACAGTTTGGATGTGAGGGACATGAGAGAGAGGAGTCATGGATGACATCTAAGTTGTGAGCCTAGGTGACTGGGAAGGATAATGGCGCCCTCTGCACTAATAGAAAAGATAGTAAGAGGGGAGGGCTTGGGGAGAGCTTTGAAAACACATAGCTTTTTAATATATTTGCTTTATCAAACATGTAATTATACAATATCCCCTTTACACCCTCCTCAAGAAGCTTTCAGTAATTTCAGACCTCTTGTTTCTTTCAGACAGTACTATGCTTACCTCACTGATACACAGTGCAAACGAGTGGGAACACAGTGCTGGGTATTTGGGTAAGTACTCTACTTTCTCTAGTCTTATAAAATTAAATGAATGAGGATGTTTTTAGTTACTGCCTGATGTTTGGTTACTGCCTGATATTTCAGAAGATAACTTTTCAGAAGGAAATTGTATTTCCCTTTGAAAGTCAATTAACTATTTTGGAGGGAACATAGTTTTTCAAGCATCCTTTTTTGTGGTTTCTTTAAATAGTTCTGATTGGTTGATATAGAAGGAAGGGAAGCCTTTAAATGACTCTTTAAATGACTATGAACTGGTAGGTACATTCCAAGTAAAAACTGGTAGGTGGTTTCTTTTTAAAAATGAAGTAAAATTCAAATTGCCTTTTAGGAATAACTTGAATTTTCCAGGCTTCATGATGGACTTACATACATTCTTTGTTTCCTTCCTGTCAGCACGAATTAACCCCTTAAAACAATTGATTGATACGTGCTAAGATATAATTTTAGTCCTCTTCCTGGAAAACAGAAACGATTTCCTTGCTGCCTATATGACCCCTGGACAAGACAGTTAGCCTCCCTGGGCTTTTCAGCTCTCTCATCTTTAATGTGGCAGAATTGGATTCAGTGGGTCCCTGAGATCCCTCTCAAGCTCTACTTTTGTGATTCTGCAGAATGTGTGGGCACCCGCCTATTCACACATTCCTGCCCTTTGTCTAAGACTTTCTTGCTAGGGCATGACATGTGTTTTTATGTTAATAGTGGGTGAACATTTAGATTCTAGTATCTGTTGATCATTTCAAGAAGAACGCAATAGAATTAAAACCTTCTGAAAAATTAAACAGAAAATTGAAAAGATTTAGGGTTATTGCAATGAATTTTAATTCCATCTCCACAGGGACAAAAGATCAGTCTTGTAGTCAAATAAGTCCCCACATCTATAGATTTTCTGTAGCAGCAATCGAAAGGGCAGTAAGCTCTTAGTAACCAAGGTAAGCTGAGAGCAGACAATATAAGCAGTTTCTTCAAATCATTTTATAAGTTCTTCCAAGAACTTTTAGGAAGCCAAGTATCTCTTTCCAGTTGTTGAATCTGCTTAACAACATAATATATAGTTTCCAAAATCCAGGTTTAAGATACATCATGGATCACATCTAATAAATCTTTCGGTGACTTGACTTTTTGCTTCTACAGTAGGTCTCATTCTGAATCATGAGTCAGGACATCTTCTGGCAGAGCAAGAGATCTTCTACCTTGATCTTCTTCTCTGAGTCTCTCCTTCCTCCAAGCCCCCATCCCCATGTAATTCTATCCAGTAAAGTAAATAATTAAAGGCCTTGGGAGTGAAATAATCTCAAACTGTTCTAGAACTTTAAGTGGGTAAGAAGCCTAGGCACGATCACTTTGGTAAGCAGAACTGTCATTGTAGGATAAGCCCAATGCCAGATTTAGATATGGGATGCCAACACACATCAAACCCCAGAAAGGGTTTTGATTGATATAGACAGCCACTAAGGAATGTCTAACAGCCCAGAAACACACGCAGGGCTGTGCAGTAAGTAGGAGGATTGAAGTGTGCCTGAAAACCTGAGCAGGGCCTGGCCAGGGAAGCAGGAACTAGGGTCTCAGCAGATCTCACTTGGCTGATCTGTTTCCTTTGGTTACCCCTGTTGTGGTGCTGGGTAGGTGGGGCACCCAACCCAAGCCCCAGGGTCTTCTTTCCTTCTCCAGATCAACGGTTCTGTGGTTTCCAGGAGCCAAAGCTATGCCTTAGAGGCTGACTTAGAATTGGTAAAGTCCAGAAGAATCTGACTTTTTAATGAAAACAAAGCATCAGGAAGGCCTGTGGCAGGTGTTGACTCAATGTGATTCTTGCCTGCTGCTCTAAATATCAAAGTAAAGAAAATAGTGGGCAGGAGTAACTAACTCTTTCAAGGCAACTGAATGCCTCTTCATCACTGAGCATTCTGGGAGGGTCCCACCTTTTTACTATTATCTAATATGGTAGGAGCCAAGCCACTAGGGACTTTGCTTCTGGTGTCAGATGTGGACATTACCGTTCAGGACCCATGTCAGGAACCGCTTACGTTGAGGATTTGGGGGCCATGTACTTGTTGAACCTTAACACAGGCAGGAATCCTAAGGAAAGCTTAGGGAGGTCACTGACTTTCCTTGGGGCAGAAGGGCAAAATTTTTATTTTTCATTATCAATGCATGCCATGAAAGCAAAGTCTCACAATCCTTCTAACCTTGAGTTTTTAAAAGATATCCCCAAAATTACTGCCAGGGTACTGTACTACCAACTTGGAGCAGCCCAGCATTCAGACGGAGGTTTTTGATCATTGATTGTTAAGTCTTCCTGTTACTGTGAAACAGAATTCACCAAGCTTTAAATTATTTATTCATATATAGGGATGTGAACTGGTTTTAGACCATCTTAACAATGCTTATGAGTTGTCACATTTTACTCTTCGGTATAAAAATAACCTCAAATTCAGAAATTCAGTGTTTGTGCTTGGCTGAGGACCCAAGGGGGTGAAACTAAAATCTATGGGATTATGACTGAATGCCTCTATATCAGAATCCTCCCCTAAGGTGATGACGATGCAGTGTTTAGGAGCCTCAATTAGCCTCAGATTGCTGGGTACCAACCTATTTAGATTGGAGACTTGAGAAGTACATCCTTTGTGCTATTCTTATTTATTAGAATGCTCCCTTTAAAAAATATATATTGATCAGCAACATCAACTCAGGCTTTCCCAATTCTCCATTTCCTGTAAAACTCTGAGTGTTGTAAATAAGTTTGTATAATCCAAGGTAGAAGTAGGGTTATCCCCAGTCCTTGGAATTTTCTTCCCAGGAAGTGCTAGTGTCTCCCAGGATCTTAATTTTCAGTGGTGGTGATTTAAAAAAAAAAAAAACTTACAGGCATAGACAGCTGTAGTGTGCTGTTCAGTCAGGAGTGCCTAAGTGTTCATTAAAAGGTGCTGTACCCTAAAGAAGCACTACCTCCTCTCACCTTCAGACGTCGAAAATAGTTACCCCTTTCTCTGAAAAGAAACTTAAGAGTAATAAAAATGCCACATCCTGCTCCAACCTCTGAGATACTAGCCCGTTCTGAAGATCAGTACTCTGATGTCCAAGTTAGATTGTATATGTCTAGATTGGTTTTTTTTATTCTTTCAACAAATCTGTGTAAAAATTCCAGCAGCCAAATCATTCAGAAACAGAGGACCACTTTTATACTTGTTTTTTGTTTTTGTTTCGTTTTACAAATTCTCAATGTAAGCTGATTTCCTTCCACGAAGCAAAAGCAGCTTAAGAGGGAATGACGGAGGGAGATTCCACATTTTGACTCAAACTGCTGAACCACTAAACAAAGGAAAATATCCCCATATCAGGAATAATTTTGTTCAGTAGAAAGGAATAATTCCAAAAGCCTACTTGCTAGCTTGTTTTAGAACCAAGTGACACCTGACAATGGCCTCCCTTCCCTCGTCCTCATCTTCACTGCGATTTTAAATATCTCCATACGTGTATTTCCCATTCTCAATTAAAAACTCACTCCAGGATCCATACAGTTAAAGAATGATAATTCTTTAGTATTTTACACTAGACTGAGTCTTTTCAACATTTAAGGCAAAGGAAATATGGGAAGGTGCTTTATCAAAGCTTTATTTCATTTAGACAGCCAAAAAATGACAAGGCTACTTTATAGGGAAGTAGCAAGAATGATATCAGTCAGTAATTTTGTAGAAAGTTATTTGAGAAGCTTGTAACTTCTTACTGGAAAATTATTTTAAAATAACACCAGTAGTTACGTTATTATATGTTATTATAAAATAACACCAGCATCTCTTCCCACTTTATGTATGGGTCAGCCTAACCTATTTAGACCTAACCTATTCAGGTTCAAAACCTGTTCCTTGGGCTGCTAGAGAGAAAGAAGCATGTGTCCTGATAACACTAGTTTTCTTCCTCTTTTAGAAGGACACAGATCCCTCAAAAGACCCTTTCCTCATTCTGACTCTTATCACTTAATCTAAATTTTAACCAAAACTCCCTGTATTCCACATTATTTTATTAGTGTTAAGTGATATTTTGATAGTTTCTTTCCTTAACTTTTTTTTTCCTTCCTTTTATATTATTTTCCCCTTTTGTGACATCCTAAACCTAAAATGTATCCTTGTGCTTACAATATTATTTCTGCCTTAATATCTGACTTTTTTTCTGAAGGATTTTCTGACAAAAAAGGATGCCATTGGAATTCATTGCCTGTAGTGATAGAACTTCTTCATTTAAATTATGACTTTGCCCTTCTCTGGACATTTCCTTAACAATGTTACGGCTACATTTTTTGTCGTTACAGTTAATTTTTTTAAGATTGCATGGTGGTCCTTTAAATTCATGCCAGATTACTGTGCTTTTCAAGTTTTTACACTTACAAATTTTCCCTCAGCAGTAGAGTCAGGGAATATGAAGATATGATGCCTAAATTTGTTCTATTTGCTTCTGTTTTGAAGTGTTCCCTTCAGCTCTCTGGGATTCATAGGGATATCTTTGTCTGGCCCTCCTTTATTTGCCCTCCCTACTATAGTCTTAAGCGACCTACCCCACTATCCCATCCCATACCATGTGCTTGAACTTTCCTATCTTCAAGAGGAGAAAATTAACTTCATTAATTAAAAAAACACAGTACTTAACAATCATATAGTGCCTTGCACACATCTTTTGTGAATTTCACAATAATCCTGGGAGGTAAATAAAAACAACAATACCTTTGGTACAACAAATCATTTGGAGCCATAGGCTTCAGCTAAATAAAAACACAACCAACAACCTCCAGGTCAGAATCGGAGTCCAGGAAGGTAAAAATAAGGAGGCTGGAAGGGATGGTCAGGAAAATTCCCTGGGGGGATCTCCAGGGCTCTGTGCCAATGTCCTAACCCTGTTTTTATATCCTCTTTGCTAACTCCTATATCCATCTACCTAATAGCAAAGTACATTGTCCCAGGTCTGATCCACACCACTTTGACTTGGTGTAGTTAGAGTAA